CTTTGCTCAGAAGGGTTGAGAAAAATGTTATCCAGAGCTGAAAAATTTCTCTCTTTTCTCACTACCACCAACCACGAGAATCCTACCTGAATTGGAAAAAGATGCTTTTTGTTTCAACTCTACTAGCACAGTCTCCTTTGGCTGATGTAATAAATGTCTCAGTCTTCAAAATAGGACTATAATCAAAGTTTACAATTTATTAAAGGAATAGAGGTAAGCAAACAGTGCTGGGTGCACCGGGAGTCTCTGCTCCACCATGATGCACCCCAGTTACATCAAGCAGCTGATTTTTATGCTCCTAGGCTAATACATATTCATTACTACTTTAAAAAAAAAACAGGGTTATTATAATTAGTTTCCGGAATTCAAACCCTCCGACTGGAGCATGCGTATCAGTATCCAGTGGTCCCCCGGGGGACTCTGGGGGGTCTCTTGTGCTGAAGGCTCATAGTCTTCCTCCCTCTTGTCCTTCTCCTTTGTCCAACTTGGCTGTATGTCAGAGACTTGTGCAGCATCCCCTGCAAGCTTTGTCTTTTAGTTGTTCTTCAGCTTTCCCCGTCTCCTTAATGTCCTGGCCAGGTATCAGAGACTTGCATAGTATCCCATGCAATAGTCATAATAGCAGTTATTCTGAACCTCCCCCCAGATATCAGAGACTTCAAGGAAAAACCTACAAACACATTTCCCTTCAAGCTCTCTGACACAAATTGCTGAAATATTTCTTTGCAAGATACAAGAACTATATACATTAACCACTCTGTTTTTCTTGGACTTGTGGTTATACAAGGGTATGTAAGACAGAAGGTCACATTCATCATACCATGCGGCCCTAGCATTGTTCTGTACTGACACAAATCAGATGAACATATTTCACAGCTGACATAAGCTTACCTGGAGGATTTGCAGTTGTAAAGTTCACATCAAGATTCTTTTGGGGTGCTCATGGCCCAGCCTTGTCAAATAACCTGAAGAAGCTCACCTGTAAGAATAAAAATATGAATTAATATCATGAATATGATCAAATACAAAAATCATCTGGAGAGCAGGTGCCCAGAATCGCTTATGCTAAAGAGGAACATGACCATCACCCAGAGTAAACAGTAATCTGGGAATTTCAAGGAGGTTCTAGAAACAAAGAAAAAGCATTTAAAGAAGAGAAGTATGAAAATTTGTAACAGGAGGGGACAGACCTTGGACCACAAACATCAAGTCAAAAGCTGGCACTGACAGAAGTCACCCTGCTGGCACCTCGACTCCTGCTTAGGCCAGACAGAGCAGCCTTCCTGTTGGATGCTGAGGAGCCTGCAGCCAGCTAGCAGAGCATAGGTCCAGCCAGAGGGACCTACACCTGGAAGTTTATGGGAGCTTGTGGGGTGTTTTCTCCCCACTGTGTGACCAGTGGGTTGTAGGATATGGTGTGGGTACCCAAGAGGTTGGAGCAATACATGTGCAAACAGGGGAACCTTCCCAGAAAGGTGGAGGGAGAATTGTTTTTCCTGTGAGGGGAGGATTTTTGCATATACATGTATCTGCATGACTGTGTGTATGTGTGCATGTGCACATACAATTAGACCACCTTAAAATTAATACGAGAAGGATATTTAGAAATAAGTTGGTAGTTACTGAGATTTTATGAGTATCTAGTACTGTTTCTTACCTGTTGTTTCATCATTATTGACCCTGAATGTATAGTTCACTGGTTGGTGGCTAAATGTGTGCCATTAATGAATGCATAAACCCCTTTGACCCTGACTTTGATTTATATTATTTGAACTGAGCACTTCTTCCCTGAGACAACCCTCACAGCACAGATTAGCTCAGATGCATTGACCTTCTAGCAATGATCCCAGCCTTCTCTGATAGAAAGCACCCAGAGCTGTCAGGCCATGAATGTTAGTATGTGGTTTATAAATGTGGCTATGCCCATTGCTGCTGGCCTTCTGTGGTTTCTCTGTCTTGAATGAAAGAGGAAAGTGAAAACCCCAAAACAATAACAGTAGAATAAAAATACAGTCAAGCAGTGATGGCAAAGGCTGGAGAGATGAGGAGGAAACTTCATCCAACAGCTCATTTGACACCGATCAATATATTTCATTTGCCTACATTAAAATAAATTGATGTTTCAGTCAGCTCTCTCAGGCTCCTTGTGTAGTCCCTAGAGTGTCCGTCTGAATCACAGACTAAGAAAGATGTTTTACATTAGATGACATGAATATATCCTTCAGTATCTGCTTGTTTGAAGAACCGATGGTTCTACCAACTGTTGGTAGCTCTGCCCATATCTGGCTCTCCTGTAATGAGGATTGGAATAGTACACAGCTGACAAGAAGAACTAATATAATGAAGAAGGACTACTGTTTATAAGCTGTGGCATTGTCTGTCATTTCCTTTCAAATCTGTGGGCAGAACTCCAGTTAAATATGTAGAAAGTCACTTGCCTGCATAACTAATACATCCCCTGGACACCATGAGTACCTCCTGAAAATGTTCTCCAATACATGTATTCCCCAAAGTGGGAGAAATAGAGAAAAGAGTTCTCATCACCAGTGATTGCAAATGAATTCAGATTTTATAAATGGCAATAATCAGGGGAAAACAAACAAACAAACAAACAAACAAAAAAAAAAAAAAACTTTCTGAACTAGGAAAACTTGTAGAGATCTGCTAGTCCAGAGAGGCTGATGAATGAAAGGACTGGTTGGCATACAAAGTACAACATAAAGGCAGCTATTAAAATTCTCTTCCACCAAGAAGCCAACAAAAACAGTGACTGGAAATAGTTCAAAAGCAAGTCAGAGATTTCTGAGCAGACTTCTCCATGTATAGTAGGCTTAAGTTTGCACAGTGTTTGCTGACGCAGCAGAGTTTCAGCTACAGTGACTCTGGATTCTGCATAGGTTGTAGGAATGGTCCTCAAGGCAAAGGGGCAGGCTCTTACAACTAATTCTGAGTGAGCGTAACTCCCCAGACACTAGGGAAAGGCTGGGGTGGTTTACTGCCAGGCTTGGCTGGCCTGGTTTCTAATCTGGGACTTCCTGCTAGTACAACCACGGGGTGGCTGAAAACTATGTCAAATGTGTTTGTGGTGCTTGCTGGCTCTGCTAACCTTTCTAAAAAGTGCATGCTTTGCATGACATTATGCTGACTTCTGTGGAAAGCTTAGATTGCTGAAAACAAAGTCCTCTCTTTTATTAACAACAACAAAAAGTACTGAAAAATAAAAGCAGTTATGACTGCCACAGCATCTGAGAAGCCTGTTATTTTGGGGCCATATGGTTAAACTTTCCTCTTTTGGTGGATTTTTCATCTGGACTTTATTTTGCATGTAATACTATTCCTTTTGTTCTCACTAGGGAAGCACTGAACAGCCACAGTTGAAATGATGGCTCCTAGCCCTAGGAGCCTGGCACAGGTACAGTGACGCAGTAGTGGCAGGGCTCTGTCAGTAACAGGAGATGTCCCAAGGCATGGGAGAGAGGGGGGTAGGAAGCTTTTTAGAGAATAATTGGGATCACTCACTGCTCTGCTCTATCACACTCTGCTCCCAGCTCCCTGCTCCTCGCAGAGCAGCCACCCTGACACCTCAGTGCAGTGCAGCAGAGGGAGCCCCATCACCAGCAACTCCTGCACCCCACTTGTGAGGGCTGGCTGCTCTGCTTGGGGAGGGGAGCCAGGCACAGCTCGTAGTCCCCAAGGACTCAGACAAGGCACAGCAGGTCTGACAACAGCAGCCAGGCACAGGCAAGAGTCCCAGACTGCCAGGCAGGGCCATGGTGACGAGATGGGTCCAAAGTCAAGCTCAGAAGTCTGCCTGTGGATCTGGGGCAGGGTGTGGGTAAGTGGCCAGGCAAAGGCAGGGCTGTGCTGCAGCTGCAGCCTAGCTCCAGCAAGGGCTGAGGACATGGCTCTCAGCTTAAACACAGTTCCCAGGAGAAGTGGGGGCAGCCCTGGTGAGACATCTGCTAGCTTTGTCTCAGAGAGCTCTGTTAAAGGGCAGGCAGGAGCTTATCAGTGTTGGTCCAGAGTCCAGGCAGCCCAGTTTCACAGGGTGGAGATGAATGCAGTGAGGGCCCTGACAGTTACTTTAAACCCTGCAGGAAGAACACTGTGTAATGGAGGGTGTGATTAGATTGCTTAGTCTAGGGAAGGCATGAAGATACTTTTGCTTATACCCTGCCTTTTCTCAGTAATGGCTGTGCAAACAGAAACTGGTGATGTTTTAGAGGATGAGCTGAAAGTTCTGCAGAGGTCAGAGTCAATAGTTAAAGATGTCAAGCTACAGTTAAAGATGTCATACTGAACTGAGAGTAAAGTATATGGTGGTTTAATGTAAGAGGGGCTATATGGTCCCTACTAACAGATCAATGAGAACAGTTAACCTTCAGGTTTGTACAATAGGTTCTGGAGATGTTTTCACATCAAGTGCTCTTCAGAGGCAATAGCACAATAAGAGTGTATTTTCAAAGGTATCTAAATGTTTGATCTTTGACAACACCATGCCTCTAGTGATACAATATTGAAATGCAATGCTCCTAAGTCACCGTATTCCCACAGAAAAAAAGAAGTACAAGTCTGTTGAGAAGGAACTACCCATTAGATTTTGTTTACGCACATGCGTAAAAATGCTTACAGAGAATCTCCTTTCCCCAGGAGAAAGCTCCAACATACATCCTGTCTCCTATATTTACCAGGTCTGATAGAGTGGTTAGATCTGCTAAGGGTTTGGTTTTGCAAGGAAGCTTTCATAATGATCAGAAATTATGTTAAGCTGATTAGCCTTCCTTTGTTACCAGTGTCTCTAAAGAAATGCTTCCCGATGCTCTTTACCTCTCTTACTGGTTCCAGCTCCATCTGAGCCTTGGCATGCTTATCCATGTTCCTACGTGCTTGTATTACTCCCAGATAGCCTGTCCCTGCTTCCACATTCCGTGTATTTCCTTTTTGTGTCTCAGCTTAGCCTGGAGGTCAGTTTTCATCCATGCTGGCCTTCTGTCATGACTGTTCCACTTTCTGCACACTGTAACAAGCCATTTACAGGCTCTGAGGAAGTTGTGCTTGATGATTAGTTCTCTGGGGCTCCTTCTGCCTGCAGAGCAGTTTCATATATGATCCTGCCAAGCAAGAACCTGAGCAGACCAAAATCTGCTTTTCTGAAGCCCCTGCAGTCACCAGAGCTGTGCTACAACACATTTTAGTGGTTGGATTTGTGTTTGCACAGTCCATCTGCACTGCTCGTTTGCTAACCTGGTAAGTGTATGGGTCTGTGCTTGTATCAGTGTTGGTATCTACATCTGAATGTCAAGGGCTACATGTGGAACTGGGTGCTGAATTGAGAGGTGTGGGTTTTTGACTGAAAGGGTGCAGAACCCCTTTGCTGCATTCCAAGGAATGTGGTTTGGAGGAGGGAAAGGAGGGGAATGACAGCCCTGCAATCCATCACCAGAGCTTTCGCACATCATTGTACTATGAAGTGGCATACACAAGGGCACTGTGTTTGTTGTGATGGGAATGTTAATGATATGATGATGATATTTGCCCACCTGGAAAGTTCTGGCCACCTGTTTACATGATCATCTGTACCAGCAGTTGGAGTAGAGCTGTGACCTTGGCACATCATAAGCCCAGGTGCCAACAGCTGGGAAGACTGAAATCGAGGGGCAGCTATGTAGCAGACCAGGTGTCTGGGATCAGCTGCTGGAGGGACCCACCTTGTACATATACATGTTCCCACTGGTGGACTTCCATTCTGCTCACCAGAGAGGGGAGCAGGTGGAGGCCTATGGTGCTGTTTACATTCACGTGAGTGCTTTGAAAGTCTGTCTGTGAACTGTGTGGCCACCCCTGTATATATATATATGTAGTATGTATATATATATATATATGTGGTGTAAGCATGTGCTCTGCATGCTTGCTGGGAATACATTTTCAGCTTCCCTGCTGGTTGGACCTGGGGACATGGATCTGCAGCAGCTTCACCTCTTAGGTTGTTCCTTCCTTGAAATCTCTGCTGGGGAAATGACTTTCCTTAAAAGCAGATTGCATTCTGACTTTTTACTTCATAACAGGAATGTATTCCTAACAGATTTTTAATTTTCAGAGACTTTTTTTTCTCTACAGAAGTAAAAGAAACTCTATGCATAAGGCTGGCTGTGACTCTATGTTAAAGGTATACAAGCATACAGATTTTAAACAGAAATATGCATACTGATATGAATGCAGCATGAATGGAAATGTGTGTGTGAAGGCACCAGAAGAAACAGCAGAACAAGTGTTAAAAGAATGGCCTGTATTGACAGTGAATACCAATGATCCCAGGACACTGCTCACTTTACTGTTCTTCAATAGACAATCCTGTTCAGTTTAACTCTACAGAGTGTGGGCCCCTTGCAAGCCTCTGCTCTTCTTCTCATTCATTAGAATGAAAAGGGCCTTTCCTGAAACCCAAATCCTCTTTCCTCCTCCATTCACAGCTCCCCTCTGCCGTCTCCCCTTAACTATGGCAAAGGGATCAATGGCTACAAAGATTAGGAATTAATCTAGGACAGTAGCCAGAAAGAAAATGGAAGGCAAATCTAAATCCCAAGTTAGCAGGACCAAGCAATTACTATGGCATCACCCTTTTGCTTCACAGTCTGGCTACGTCTGCCTCCATACACTTCAGGCAACTCTCTTGATCATTTTCTATTTCTTTATTTTGAGTTCCCAAGGCTATATTCTGCCTTCCTGCTGTAGTGACAGGAAAATAAATGGTATTTGTGATGTGCTGTACAGGCTGTAGAGTCTTCTGCAGGCAAGTTGTCTATGCTACAGAGCATGGGTCTTTGTGGCTTGAGAGAAATAAGTTACTTCTCAGTTATACTGCCTTGCACTATATCTCTGGTTATCAACACAGGCTGTTGTTTCAACTGTTCTGATGCTTGGACTCACCCGTTTCCACTCATACTTCCCTCATACCAGCCAATTTTCCTGTTGCAGCTCTCTGAAAGCTGACTCAATTTACTGAGGAGTCAGAGGAATACCAGTCAGAGCAAACAAGGAGGCATTTTGGCTGGAAGTAGAGGACCACAGAGAGAAAGAGGTACGGGGTTACATTTTCAGCAGAAGCAAGAGGTTACATCTGCTCAGCCATTTTTTCAGTAGTTTCTAACTTTCAGCAAATGTCTTTGTATTTATAGCTAGAAACACTCACTGCCCTGAGAGAAGACCGCTGTTCCTGGACGCCTCGATAAAGCAATTCCTTCCGTCTCACCCAGCTGTGCTACTTTACATAAACAGGTTCTGTCTGAAGAAGTTGGTGAGGAAGTCAACTACTCTGGGCATTTGTGTTTGCAAAATATTATTCCAACAAGCAGAATACACACAGTAAAGTTTCTTTGCTTTTACTGAGGAGACCACAGACCCTCCTTAAGTGTATTTCAGAGCAATAGTACATGCTTGCCAGGGCTGTATTTGCAGCTTCTTTCTGCTTGCAGTCCTTCACTTTCATTTCCCCCTTTCATGCTGTTACACTGTTCCAAAGCTGTAACCAGGAAACTCCTCTGCTCACATAGTTCACATTTCTAAGTGGATTAATGTGCAAATGCATGTTTTCACAAATTGGCTGAAAAACAGAAGACAAATAAACATAAGCAAATGACTGAAAGGTTTGCCAGTTTCATTATTATTTTCTACTGTGTGGCATTGGCAATAGATTGCTGACTCACTGCTTATTTTCTACTTTATCAGTCAGATTTAAACCTACATTAAGTATGAATCCGAGTTATATTATCTCTGACAACCTGTTGACAACCTGGGAACGCACGTATATATGCATGTCTGGGACACAAGCCAGCCCAGAACCACCAATGCACATTTCTGAAACTAGAGTTGATAAGGTACACTCCTCTTTCTACCCCTCCTTTTCTATTCCTTTATTTAAATAACTTATTTTATTTTGATATCAGAGCAAGAGGGAAACATGCCCGATAGAAAGATCCTTCCACAACTTTCCAAAACCACAGAGGGTACATCTCGGTCCTGATCTTTGGGGAGGTTCTGTGACGTGACCAGCAATCGCTCACACAGTGGCCATGTGTACCAGGCAACACAAGCTGGCATCCGCTTCTCTGTCAGGGGTAATTAACTTCCTGAGGTGGGGGGGTGGGTGATCCTGCCTGCTTCTTCGGCTTGCATTGCCAGAGAGTTTGAAGGTTAAAGCTGAACTCTGGTGGATCTGGTGCTCAGCCCCCTCCCATCTTTCTGATTCAGTTGTGTCTCCTTTTTCGCATTCCTACTCCAGCATTTTATCAGGAACCGCTTCTGGGCTCCGCACCCTCTGCCAGGATGCAACAGTGGCACTGGCAAGCAGCTCCCTGCCAACACAGAAGACAGAAAACTAACAGCAGCACGACATGAACACTAGAATTACATCAAGCTGCGAAGTTTCTCTTTTATTAAAGTTAAACAACAACAACAAAAACCACACACACAGAACAATATGCAAAGAGAAGGCGGGTCCTCTGGCGCTCCGCCCCACGCCTTCAGTTTCGATTCCTGAAGGCAAGAGGCTGCCTCGTCGCCTGCCTCCTTGTCTCCCGAGGCAGAGAGGCAACGATGAGCGACCCGGTGGTGTGCAGCTTCCTCACCAAGACCCTGTGTGCCCAGGGCGGCCGGCTGGGGCTCACAGAGCTCCGGGAGCACATCGACCTGTCGGAGCAGCAGCTGATGGAGACGCTGCGGGCAGCGGGGCCCCGGCGGTTCCTGCTAACTGCAGATGACGGCCTCCCCACCGAGGTGCTGGCCGTGTCGGACGTGCGGGTCTGTGTCCTCAAGGAGTGCCCGGGCTGCGACCGCCTGCACCTCTGCAAGCTGCACCTCGGGGGCAAGTGCAACCTGGGTCCCAGGTGGGCACCCCTGGCTGGGGGGCGGCTGCGGGGCAGGGGGGCACCTCCGTCTGCTCTGTGGGTGTGTGGGTGTGTGGATGGGTGAAACGTTGTGCCAAGGGTGAGGGGCAAAGCAAAGTGGCCCCGAAAGATAGGTGCTGCTGGGGATGGGGCTTCGTTTCCTGCCCACAGCACCCCCTTTTCTGCCCTTCTTGGGGGATGCAAAGGGCAGGCCAAGCAGCCTTTCAGGGGATTTGTTTTCGTTCTTTTTCCTTCCCCGAGGCTAACCAAATCTGGTAGCTATTAGCTAAGTAAATAAACAAACAAAAAAGTCAGGAAAATGAAACACAAATGCAGAAATGAAAATGGAAAGCGGTACAATGAGAATGAGTTTGAAAGAAGAATTTCCTGTTGGAGACTTCTGTTGCAGCTCTTGGTCCTGGGATGTTATCACACTGGACTTCTGCCTCCACAAAGCAGTTCCTCACATGCTCAGATGGGAAGGAGATGGAGGGGAAAGGCCTGGTGTGTATCCAGATGGTACAAGTGAAATACTAGGATGCTAAAACTCTGTTACTCTTTGTTGCTTTGATGACTTGGAAAGATAAGGCTATGTAGGATTTGCAGTTAGAAATATCTTCAGGTGCACAGAGGCACCCCCACTGGAAGAACAGAAATATGCAATGATTTAAGGAAATCATGTCATGCTGGAGTGCTCGTGGGCAGCCTCCTGCCCTCTCAGTAGTGCTAAGAGTTTAAAATTGCCTTTGTGTGTATTAATAACTAACACAAGTAAGGATACACCTTTCAGGTGTAATTAGGGGATGAAGGATGTTGATTAAAATGAGGAGACAGAAAGAGTGCTACATGGTCCACATGGATCAAGACAGGTTAATTTTTAATTCATGGGATAGAATTAAGGCTTGCTTCCAGATCTTGCATCCTTTGTTGTTGGAAAGGAAAACATCTGTGCAAGTTACTGGGGTCTTCCTGTTCAGTGAATTACGACTTTTAGTCAGACTCAATTAGTTTTTAACTTGTGTCTGACCAGTATCTTTTCATTGCTTTTTTTTTTTTTTTCTAAATGTATTGCTAAACCACAGTTGATGACTCATCATAGCATTTCTGGATTGTTTCAACCTTTGACTTAGAAATGAATACTCAAATGATATAGATTGTTGTGTGGCTGTTGATGGCATCAAGTGGCCGCAGAACTTGGTATCCTTATAAGATTGTTTTTCAGGACAGTGGCATATTCCCGCCCCTCAGACCCTGCATTCTTATTTATTTGGTTACAAAGCAATGTGTCCTACAGTTGGGTGGTGAAATGTCTACATAAAATTGTGTAATGTAATTCAGCATGCCAGGTAAAATGTTATCACAATCTTCAGTAGTTAACTAGTGGCTAAAAGGAAAAAACAGAACAGGGGTTTGAGTCTGACAGGGTAACAGGTACTTATTGGTTGAACATGTATGGCCTTAAAGCTATATCAAATTATGTTTTTGAAGGGCAAGCTTTCATGAAACTATTTTACTGCATTAAATTATTGCATAGATATGCCTTATTTCTCCTCATACCTGATTTTGAAATATCTTTACAAATAAATGCAAAAAAATAGAATCTCCCTTTCTTTGTAATTCATGCTCACTATACATGTTTATATTGAGTTACTAAGTAGTACCAGCATTTCATTAGTGTCCTTTAAGCATTCCTTTATCCAAAACTCCAAGTTCATGAACTTCCATGGATGTTATGGTTTGTTGTTGTTATTTTAAAACTTCCCACCCAGCAGAGATAATATCGTGTTGTGTTCAGCTTCATTATCTCTTTGTTTTGGGCTCTCAGACTGTTGCATCTTTCCTTACATGCTATCCCTAGGACAACATTGTACATGCATGAAATCGAGCTCATTGCAACTTCTATCACTGATGATGTATATCCTCTAAAATTAGCATTCCCTCCAGCTGTTCAGGTTGTGTGACTTGACTTGCCTTTTACTGGAGAGGAAGAAAGTGTGGGGCAAACAGACTTGGCTTTGTGTCTGTGCTTTCTTACAAGCAGTCTGGCCACATTTATGTTAAAAATGGAAATAATAACAGTACTGTATTTCAGAGTGATTATTCTGCTTGCTTCATACTCTTGCTAATTTATTATCTGCATGTTCACAGAGGCTTTTGCCAAAGTTCCTTTATTTCCATGTTTTTTATCAAATTGTATGTTATCTAAGGCTCTTTAAACCAACTTGACTGAAAAAGTGAACACATGATATTTCTGTCTATTTTCTTGCAGAGCTTGTAGGTACTCTCATGACATCAGCAGCACTGAGAACAAAAAAGTCCTAAAGACCCATGAGTTGTCTGGCCTCAGTGAGGATGAGCTGCGAGTCCTGCTTCTCCAAAATGACCCTTTCTTCCTTCCTGATGTGAGTTGTTCTGATTTCTTAAGCTTTTGTTTATTAGGAATAGGAAAGGGTAAGAAAGAAGGTGGGGGTCTGATCTCAATTTCAAGCTCTGAAGTTATATAGTACCAGAAATATTAGGATTAGTCTGAATGAACTATGAATGGGAATGGCTGTCTGTGAAAGCACCTGAAGAGCAAGGGTTGTAGAAATGCCATGTACTGATAACTAAAAAAAAACAAACATGACAGCAATAAAACTGGTAAACACAGAGGAGCATCTTGTTTGCTTAAATAGCAGAAGGCCTGCACTTGGTTTAGGTTCTGTCACATATAACTTGTCAGCAGAAGAGCTACCCTCTGACAGCAGGAAACGTACAGCAAGCTTCCATCTGGCCTGTTCTGCATGCCATTCCTCTTCCTGTTAGCCCAACAGGATGCCTATAAAGTTACTCAAAACAAGCAAACAAAACATGTCAGCAACTTCATCAGAGATTTACAGATGGTGAAGTAAAATGGAGGTGAAAGATCACAGTTACCATACATGCATACAGGGTATAAAGGCCTAGCAAAAAAAACACTTTTGCTGGCTCTTAGCCAAGAGATAATGGAAACTGGGAAGCAAGCACCCCTTTCCTTGTCCAGCCTACATAGGCCTGCATGTTTTGATGTTCATGGGCATACAAGAGTGAGAAACATCTGTGAGAAAATGACCAACTGGCTGCAGTCAGTTTCATGTAAAATCTGTCCCTTCCAAAGTGCACTGAGGCTTATGTACATTACTTTCCTACAAAGCAGCCTGTGTTCAGTTTGTATGTAAGTAATTGCTTTTGTTAAGTTTGGCCGAACAATGCAATCTCTGGTTTTGTGTGCATGTGCATATGGGTAGTGCAATTTTCAGTTTTCAAAGTACTGTTTCAAAGCCAGGAGTATCCTATTCTGGCTACAGCTGTTCCTGATTAAGAAATTACTGGAGTGCTGCCTGCTGCTCTTGTCTTTTGGAAGTTATAGTCTCCACAGATCTGTTGGCATAAAAGTTCTATTGTTTTCTTATTCCCTGCTGTGACAGTGATGGACTTTGACAAAATAGAACATTTCTTTTTGTGTTTTAAAATATGTCGTGCTGGCAGATTCAAGGAGCATCATGGTGATGAGCAAGAAGGATTAATAATCTTCATCCAGCTCAGCTGCATTCTACAATCTAAATGTTTCTTGTTTAGTTACTCCCAGTAATGAGCAGATAGTATCAGCCATCATTGATTGATGTTACTCTTACACTCTTATCTGTAGATCTGTCCAGTCTCCACTTCTGGAGGGCATCATTAATTACCCCTAGTACAGCACTGTAACTCCTGTTACTGAGTAAAATAGCTCAATCAGTGG